CATTGTAATTGCAGCTTCTGATGATGATGGCAAAGTCCATTGAAAGCTAGAGAGAATTTAAAAAAAGTATAAAGAGTCCTCTTTGCTTAAATTTTGTCGAAGTACCCAACAAAAGGCGGAAGCTTTAATTTTTCACCTATATATATATATATATATATATATATATGAGAAGTAGTCATTGCCAAAGCCAATATGTATCAATATCACACATTTTTGCACTCAGATGAACCACACACTCTGTTCCAAAACAAGTTATTCCAGCATTTTAGTGGAGATTTACTGAGCGTCCCTCGTATTCTTCATACCCAAAGTTGGACAGGGAGGTGCACATTTCCACGTTCTGTCGCGTCAATTACTTGTCTTCTGTTGACGCTTTACCGTTCCGTGCCTTTTCTTCTCTCCACGTGTAGCGGTAGTAGAAGGTTAGGGACTGCATTCCGATTGTTTCAACAAAATGTCTCCCCACGTGCAGTATTTTTAGCTTGTTCGGATTTATTGATAAAAATTTTTATTTTTCTTAACTTTTAACGAAGGTATCTGTCGTTTTTAACAAGCCCAATGTCCCCGTCCTTTTGTTTTTATACTGAAGACAAGTTCGACCTTCTCTACGTTCTTTCTGAAATACCTTGTGACTGCAACCTCACCGACGAGTAAGTTGACTGACATTTTAAATCTGTCTTCTTTGCTAGCATCACAATTGTGTTTTCAGAATCCTGATGATGGCTCCATAGATAATGCCGAAAGCTTGATTTTATCGTCAAAAGAGTCAACTTTAGCCTAAAAGTTTTGCCAATTTTCCCAATTAACAATTAATTGTATTTTGTACCCTATATACAGGGTGACTTCGAAGTTGAGTCATTTATTTTAACAGTGAGTAGATCTGATCAAAAGAAATGTTTTTTTCCTTTAACATTTTTCTGGTAAAATTAAAGTAACAAAGTTATAGCCCTTTAGAAGTTTGAGTACCGCCCTGTCTCAGCAATAATACTCGTATTATGTGTTTGGCAACAACGGATATCGGTTCATCGCATCGGAAACAAAAAAGCGAAGGAATTTGAAACGTTTATCACGTTGTTTTTCGTCAGTCGGTAACGCGTGGGAGAATAGTGATGTTTGTTGCGTGACTCAAACGAAATGAAAAATGGCACATGTTTACGAAAATGCTGAACTTGTGGACATGATTCTTATTTACGGGGGGGCAGTCTTTACAAAATGCTGCCGGATGCATCACGGATTTATGCGAATCGGTTTCCCAATCGAGTGCAACCAACCCCTCGTGCCTTTGTTAATGTAGTACAAAGGGCTCGTGAATCAGGTGACTTAAGACCTCACAGGTGAGAGCATGCCGGTGCTCCAAGACCGCACGATCAAATACAGGTCCGCACTGAAATACTTGTCGGGAGGATACTTTATTAAACAAGGTAACATTTTTTTTTTATTTTTTTTTATTTTTACACACATATTTTGGTTTATCTTCCTTCTACAATCATTATCTGAAAATTAATGACTCAACTTCAAAGTCACCCTGTATATATATATATATATATATATATACAGGGTGGCACACGCCCACAATTCGTTCCATCTTTCAATACTGACATTGACATCCTTCGGCCTTCTGTCATAGGGTTTCATGTCACTCATCAATTCATCATTCCATGACCACTAATTTGTGCAATCATCAGGTGGTTTCACGATGTAATGCTCTAATTTTTAAAATAATTTTTAATCTGTTTTTAACTTGTTCTTGTCATGTTTTTGTATAAATTTTGACTATTGTGCAATCTATTCAGCTCTCACCATGTTACTGGACGTTTCCCTCATCCTATACGTAAACAACAATTAGCAACATCCTCACATACTACTGTAAGTTGAGTCAATTTAAATTCATTTTACACCTTTGTTGCTACTGTTATCATTGTAATTGCAGCTCCTGATGATGATGGCAAAGTCCATTGAAAGCTAGAGAGAATTAAAAAAAGTATAAAGAGTCCTCTTTGCTTAAATCTTGTCGAAGTACCCAACAAAAGGCGGAAGCTTTAATTTTTCACCTAACTGGTCTAGACGACAATGACCACGTCTCAAGTTATATATATATATATTGATATAAATGAATCCCTATTTCGCCTGGTCACGCCATAACTTAAGAACGACTCTACCGATTTCATTTATCTTTTTTGAAAAGTTTCCTAATGCTATAGAATTGTCTTACGGAAAGGAAAATCAAGAAAATTGTACATAAAATTCGGATATCATTGAAAACCTAATGATTATTTGAGCTACGCGCATTTGACAGTTTGCTTGAGCATTGATCACGCACAGCAGAAGAAATATCTCAAGTACCAAAATAGCCAGGCACTCCTCTCTGCCATTTTTATTCCAACAGCTATTGACAGTTTGCTATGTGAGAGAAAATTGCTATTTAAAACACGGTGCTTTCGTTTTTGGACTTACCTTCCTTTACCATCTGTACTTTGTGATGGCATCTTCAAAAGAAACTGCAGTGTTGCCTAATTGTTATCCTTGTCAGTTAACTTTATGAATAAAAATGGCGGATGAAAATACGTTTCTTCTGCTTAATTGACTTTCACTACTCTATCATTTTGAACTTGACAGCTAGCACGCGGCAAATTTATATTATCATTTAGCAGTGTTTATTGATAAAAAAATATTGTTTTATTTAATTTGTAGTGCAAGTTCATTCGATTAGAGCCTTTATCCAGTTTTCAGTTTGTTCAGTGAGTTTTTTGAGAAGTATTTGTTCAAAAATAATAATTAACAAGGGTGGAAGTTAGTTCGCCACTATCACGCCTTATATTAAAAGTGTAATTCTTCAAAATGCCATCGATTAGACGTACCAATCTAGGTCGCAGAATTCGCAATGCTGCAAGTCAAAAATATGTACGAGAAATGAAATTGAACGGATCGAACGACTAAAATTCAACAACGTGGGTCGCATTTATTCCCAATCGAGCTGCATTCAATTATGACGTGGCAATCGATTACAGCTCACAACAATTCATTTCTATTGGACCAATGAACGTTGCGAGTCCAAATTGCAAGGCATTCAAGTTTAAAGATGAAACCCCTGGATTATTTTGAGTCAGTGGAAACACCAAATTGACTCCATTGGGCCACCACCAGAGTCACTACATTCCGCGGTTTCCAGAAATGGGCCAGATTCTATACATTTCTTGACTCATATCCAGCAATACAATAATTTCAAGGTAAGTTGATGGGAGGAATACAGTGCTGCCAACGTATTTTGCTAGCACATTGCGGTACAAACCCTTCGCTATACAATTGCCCATATTCCATATATTTACCCTTTTATTATCCATTATTCATTCCAGTTCATAGCTGTGAGCCGTATTGTTAGTCGTTCCAACATTTGTAGGACGCCTTTGTGGCCTCCTTGATTTTCATAGTATTTTCTCTCCCACAGAAAGGCTGGGGAATTTCTAGATTTCTACTGCTCCGTGACAGCGTCAGCGCTCTCCTATTGTGAGGCTAGGTTATCTTTTTTAATTGTAGGAAATTTCAGGCTGATAAAACAGACAATATCAGCATGAATCAAAAGCATAAACAATATATATATATATATATATATATATAAGTTATGGAATCCTGTTGGTAACTTAATTATGTGGTACAAGCCCATTATTCCAACAAATTGAATTGTATGGCAAGCAAGCCCATTAAGAAATATTTGCTTTTTACTTCTTTTTTTCGATACAGCTCTGTTATTTTTCCTATAAAGATTAGAATTATATCGAGGCACAGACAGATTTTGTTCAATACTTGTAACCACTCTTCGTTCCTGCAATAAAGTCTGTTATTTTTTTACCATACGACGTGTGCATTCTTTATTTGGTGCTGCGAACAGGATCGTTATACGCCTTCGTGGAAAACATCTGGAAGTCTGTACGAGCCCAGCCAACCATCAGTAAAATCTTCGAGATTCATCAGGTGAGCTGAACTACGTCCCTTCTGTGTGACCAACCATTGTGAGGTAGGAAGTATCCACTACCGTAAGAGAAACGATCTGAGAACCTGAGAGCCACGTCCGAGGTCCCTGCAGAACGAGAGCTACAAGTACCAGAGCAGTCTCCGTTATGAAAAATTTGATTTTTCACATAACGCTAGAGTAAGCCAAATCCATTTTATCTATTTAGTCAAAGAAACTTTTGGTAAATCTCCAGTACGAGAACGATCACCCATTAGAAGACAACCAGTAAAAAACCAAGCTAACGTTAGAGAGGAATTCAGAACAACCATGGATGACAATCCACAAATGTTATTTAACCTATTGAAAGATAGTGTGCCTATTTTTTCTGAAACATCAAATAATTTATCTGTATATTTACGTAAATTCATGCTTTATCGTACGTAAAATCCAAACTACAAGGAGCATTTTCTGTTATCGTTGAACGAAATAATCCTCAAACTTGGCAAGAATTTGAATAAATTCTCAAAGAACGTTACAAAGATTCAAAATCCGAATTAATGCTACTTGATGAACTTAGAAAATTATCCCAGTACACAGACTATATGAATTTTCATACTGAAATTTTGCAAAAATTACATATTCTTAGAGAATATGCTCTTTTGGAATTTTCTGATGTAGTTGCTCAATCTAGAGTCGACCTTTACACAGAAGCTGCATTAAATTCATTTGTAACTGGTATTAGAGAACCATATAAATCACTCCTATTTAACGCAACACCTACAACTCTTCAAGCTGCCTTACAAATTTGTCGAAAATACGATAATTTACAAATACAATCGCAATGCAAAGTATTTACTAAACAAAATGCCAAAAATACTAACGCCATTCAAAAACCGAAACCTACAAATACCGTTCAAAATACACATATGTGGCGATTCCCTTCAAACCAACAATTTTACAATCCGCAATTTTACCAACAGCCACAACGATTTAACTTCCCAACTGGCCCGATTAACATCAGACCAAATTATTTTAATAATCAATTTCAAAGACAAATTCAACCACGACAGCCTAATTTCTATCCACAAAATAGACAAGGTCCACCAAAAAACTTTAAACCGATACCCATGTCTACATCAACTATTACGAACCGCCCCTCGCAACAACAGAATCAATACCGTCCTAACTTTTTCTCAAATCACAGACAAAGACCAAATTTTATCGCTGAAGAACTAACCAACACCGAAGCGACCGAACAATCACAAAACGAACAAGAATACGATGAACAGCAATACTATGATCCAAATTATGAAAATTATGACCAACAAGAATATGAAAATTCAGATAGTAACCCTACTGTCGAGTTTCCCCCTGAAGAGACAACTCAAAATTTTCCGAAAGCCCCAAATCAAAACCCATTGACTTATATCTCAATAATTATGAGAACACACATTTGCCATACATTTATTTACAAAATCTAGATTTGCTAGTTCTTATAGACACTGGTGCATCTGTCTCTTTGATCAACACTCAAATTGCTTTCAATTATTTTCCAGATTACATTTATCCAAAACACTTTTCAATAAAATCTGTCATTGGTACTAAACACGGTGAATACGCTTTGCGAATTCCTTTGTTCAATGAATATGGCATTAACACTGAAATTGAATTTCTCATTTTAGACTCATTTTGACTGTTTGATCGTTTAAACTTTATTTGCCACACTGACAAAATACCACGTAAAGTCCCGAACACTGTAATCAAAAATCAAGTTCTAAAATCCCCTATAAAAATGGACAAATTATCGTTCCGCCTATTAAATATATAAATTCTAACGATTACACACCCGAAATGATTTGTACCGTTAATAATTACGAGTACTATACCCAGAAAATCCAAATCTATTAGATTTAAACTATCAATGCATCAAATACGACAATTTGGATAATTACGACATTGAAACACCCCAGAATGAATATAATTTAACTGATATTGGAACTTTAATAAGAACTGATCACATGAATGACGAGGAAAAATACAAGATAACAGAACTTTGTAGAAAATTTCCTGAAGCTTTTCTAAAACCTAACGAAAAATTAGAGCCATGTACCGTAACATCTCATTCTATCAGAACAAAACACGACGACCCAATATATGTAAAATCTTTTCGCTATCCAGTATATTTAAAAACCGAAATTCAGAAACAAGTCGCTAAACTTTTCCAAGATGACATCATCCGTCCCAGTACAAGTCCGTACTCATCACCTGTATGGATCATAAATAAGAAGCCTGACGCTTCCGGCGTTAAAAAATATCGCATGGTAATCGATTTTCGTAAACTAAATGACATTACTATCGAATATAAATATCCTTTGCCCCGAACTGAAGAAATATTAGAGAGTTCAGGCAAAGCCAAATATTTTTCAACGTTAGATCTGGCACAAGGATTCCATCAGATTCCTATGCGCAAAGACTCAATTGAAAAGGCTGCCTTCACCGTCGACAACGGGCACTATGAATACTTACGAATGCCCTTCGGACTGAAAAACGCAACATTCCAAAGAATGATGAATTTTGTTTTAAAACCTTACATCGGAAAAATATGTTTCGTCTATTTAGAAGACATAATAATTTTCTCAAAATCATTGCAAGACCACCTTATTCATTTGAAATCTATATTTCAAGCTTTAATTAAACATCAATTGAAAATACAACTTGATAAAACAGAGTTCCTAACAACAGACGTTCCATTTCTGGGACATGTAATAACGCCAAACGGAATTAAACCAAATCCGGATAAAATCAGATGCATTCAAGATTTTCCAATACCAAAAACTATCAAACAAATTCAATCATTTTTAGGATTAACCAACTATTACAGAAAATTCATTAAAGACTTTGCCAAAATTACCAAACCTTTCACTAAATGTTTAAAGAAAGACGAGAAAATCAACATTTCAGATCCTGATTACATTCAAGCTTTTGATGTGAGTTCGACCCTGACCAAAATTGCCTTGGTTGATATCGAGCGTAACTCTACATTTTCGATCAATTTAAGTAGTGAAAAACAACCAAAAATTTCTGCAAGATCATCAGTGCAACAATTCAAGCCCATACCGAAACATTGTGAGTAATTGCATCTCGTACATAATAAATAGGAACAGAATTCGAAGTATTTCCATCGCATAGCTACCTTAGTGTGCTAGCACGAAAAATTCCTAAACAAACATCTAGAAATGATACGGCATCCGCCTGGGAAAAATCTCGCAAAATCATGATGCCATCTAATAACCAAGCTTCATCTTACAATGTCACAACAGCTCAATCCTACTCAAACGTATTATCACAGAATACAATTAGATACCCGAGCAAGGATCAAACAATCATACTCAATTCCGCAAATGGAGTGAAACTGCAGGACTATCTGCTGAAAATCGGCCTGATAGTCAATCCGAAAAATATATTGTTCTGCTCCAGAATTTCTAACAACAGAATATGTATTTATTTAGCAAATAAACATCTAGTAGACACATTTCTTGAGAATCATGGAGAAATAGAAGTAAACGGTGAGACCATAAAAGCACGACGACTAATATCACCCTCCGACCGCTTAGTAATGTCAAACGTAAGCCCTACAGTTCCTCACTCAGTTTTAAACGAAAAACTATTACAACTAGGACTAAAACTAGTATCGCCCGTCTCCTTTCTAAGAATAGGCGCTCCACTCCCAGATTATAGCCATATCCTGAGTTTCAGAAGACAAGTATACATTGAGCCCAATCAGCAATCCCTAAACATTCCAGAATCCGTTGAGATAGTTCACGAAAACCTAAGTTACCGCATCTTTCTATCACTAGATAGCCAAAAGTGCTTCAAATGTAGCAAACAAGGTCATTTAGCTTCCCAATGTCCATCATCATCTCATCAACAACACACAACAACGCCAGAAATCCAATCGCCTAACCAACAGGAATCAACAAGTACCACCCATAGAAACAATCCACAATCCATAAGCACAGCTCAAGTCCGAGAAACAACACCTCAACACTTACTTAATTTACAAAAACCTGAAGCTGAACCGTCTAAAAGTCAAGTGTCAACTGACACAACTCTAACGCATGTAACGCTATGCCAAGAGCCAGCATCAAACTTCCAATTTAATACACGGCAAAACCAACCGGAGGAGCAGAACGCAGCATACAGCGAAGAGATGACTACGCAAAGCAGCTCATCTTCGAAACGATATTTTTCTGAAACTATTTCACCAACCACACCCGCACATGACACAGACCCCACAAATCCTCCCATATTCGCAGCTCCCGCAAGCATGAAAGTAAAGAAACATAAAACAGATATACAGCCATCCTACATCTCACAAGACGCGATAACAAGTGTTAAAACATTCATTGACAATCACATGCCCCCTCTTCCTTTGAATAGTGATCAATTTAAAAGTCTCCTTGAAAATACTCATGGAACCCAAGATATTACAAATATCGTCCAGGACTATACAACTGATTTTAAAGGCCTTGTAGAAATGATACTATTAGTATATCCTCACATTACTGATAGAACAGTCAAAAACAGATGTACAAGACTCCGTAAAAAACTGGAACGTTACATAGACATCAATACTAACGAATGCCTTAGTGACACCTCTTCGTTGGATTCATCAACGTTCTAATATATACTCGAAAAATTATAATGAATATAGGAATCACATCGCTGTTGCAGTGGAATCTGAATGGGTATTACAGCCTCTTGAATATGTTACAGAAACTTATATCAGATCAAAATCCAGACATAATCTGCTTATAACCCACTTTGCTGATACTAACATTCATACACCAAAACATTACATGGGATTCTTCAAGAACCGCAGTTACACATCAAACCGCATAGCTAGTGGTGGTACTGCCATATATGTTAAGAATAATATAGTGGCTAGCCCCATAAACTTAATAACGCAACTTGAGGCAGTTGCTATTACAATAGAAGCTCCCCAGAACCTCAGCATCTGTAGCATATATATACCGCCCAACTATCACTTAGATACTAACGAGCTAGAGATGCTACTACAACAAATACCATCTCCGCGAATCATCATGGGAGACTTCAACGCTCATCATCATATTTGGGGTTCCAAAAAACACAACGCGCGTGGTTTAATAGTGAAAAACATACTAGATACAACCGATCTTAGCATACTGAATGATGGTACAGAAACAAGACTGGATCTGGGAACCGGAACAATGTCTTCAATAGACCTTAGCTTATGCACAACAAACCTGATAACTTCACTACAGTGGCAAGTTCTGGATGATCTATTTGGGAGTGATCACTTCCCTATTATAATATCCAACTCAGAGAACCAAAATAATACCACACCACTTGAAAAATGGAATTTGAATAAAGCAAATTGGTTGCAGTTTTCGGATCACATAGAACAAAACATTCAAGACGTTCAAATACAAAATGACATCAACCAAACCATATCCAACTTCAACAGCATCATCTTGGATGCAGCTCAAAATTGGGTAGGAAAAACCAAGACAATGATGAACAAAAATCCCGTCCCATGGTGGAACGAAGAGTGCTCCACAGCAATAAGAGCAACCAAGAAAGCTGTAAATACTTTCAAACGACACAGAACTACTGCAAACTTTTTAGATTTGAAACGAAAACGGGCACATGCAAAGCTAATTACAAAGAAAAATAAGAAAGATTCCTGGAAAAAGTTTGTTAGCAGTATCAATAGTTCGACACCACTATCAACAGTCTGGAAGAAGATCAAAAGCATAGTTGGGGCCAAGTCCTATTCATCAATAAAATGCTTGAAAGATGGAAATACAAAACATACAAAAAATGATGCAATAGTTGAAGTACTTAGTCAAACTTACCAGAAAAACTCCAGCAATCAAAATTACAGCGATGATTTCCTCAAATACAAGGCAGAAGTAGAAGCAGTACCAATAACAATACAAAACAACCAAAACCCTGTGAATACACCAATTTCAGAACTCGAAATGGAAGAAGCACTCAACGTCTTAAAGGAAACTTCGGCAGGCCCTGACGATATACCTATAATATTTCTAAAAAACCTACCCCAAGTAGCTAAGCAATATTTACTGACAATCTTCAACAAAATCTGGACAGAACATGTATACGTATTTCCTGACATATGGCACCAAGCAATTACGATACCTATACTGAAACCCACCAAATCACCTCTTGCACCAGAATCTTACAGGCCAATAACTCTAACATGTGCTATGTGTAAACTTCTAGAGAAAATCGTCAATAAGAGGCTGCTATGGAGCCTAGAAAATACCAATCGTCTAAAAAAT